AATACACATCAAAATAATAATTATATTGAAAATATTTTTGCGAGTATCAAATATTTTCTTTATACAAATGCTATCAAAATTGCATCTATAAGTAGTATTTATACCAAGTAATTAATAGTACATATTACTTAAAAAGTTTCATCTAACATCTCAAGTCTTCTACAGGCCCATCCTGAATTAAAACATTAATTTGTTGCTACATAATAAACATCGGCAAGACGGCAACTAGTCTCTATTTCTGGAGGTGCTCGTATTATGCTAATTTTTTTATCACTGAATTCATATGGGATTCTATCAACTCATTTAACAATTTCCATAAAAAATTCATCTAACATTTTTTCTCAGCGCCGGAGGCATAGTTTATACTTTATAGGCAACATGGTGGTACTAAATTTGAAGAGATAATCAGTAGTTAAAAAGTAACATAAAGCTATAAATGTTTTAGGAAAAATCTCTAGGGCATAAGCTAGGGAAAATTCACAGAGATATTATCTACCTTCTTTGAAATTGGCAATGCCGTGTATGACGAGCAACAGGGCATGATGAGGACATGTGACAGCGTGCACGGCATGGTGGGTATTCCACGTTGGCCGCGTCCTTGTTGCAGGCGGACGGCGTTGAGCGGACGGTATTCCACGTTGGCCGATAACTAGGTGAGATGGTGAGGAGGGCCGAAGTAGATGCTAAAGCGAAAATTAGGAAAATCTCAACGCCGGTGTGGTGGCGGCGAGCGAGCCAAAAACCCTAGCGAAAGGCAAAACTATTTGGTAGGTCGAACAATCGCTAGTTACGCTTTTATAGACAAGCTATATATCAAAATCACTAATTGATTAGTACTTCTTTCAAAGATCATTTCTGTGAGTTTTCTTCATACATCTGTTTATTCAAAATATTTTATCTCTTAAACCGTGCGTCCAAATCTTAAATTGTTTTCGTCAAAATCGTGTCTCTCGCAAAAGAAAAAAGAAAACACGTTTTTTTCGTTTCTGAGTCGTGCCTCTCACAGAAGAAAAAAACAAGTTTTTTCTCGCAAAAAAAATCCCAAAGTTTTTTTTCATCCAAAATCTAAGAAAGACCGATGGAAAACCATAAAACCGAAAAAAAAACATTTAAAAAGCCGAAAACACGTGTGAAAAAATTAAAGAAAAAACAAAATCCAAAAGAAAACACCCAGAGCGTCGAGAGACACGCTCTCAACCCACTGATTGTTGGGAGGCTCTCGAAAAAGTAATCGTTAACTAGTTGCTCTAATGGGCGCTCGCCCTAATAAGCGGCGCGGCGCATCCGGACATACCTGACACCGCCTCTGCTCCACGGCCCAACGATTCAGCCAATTTTCCACGCACGAAGTATAAGAGAGAATCACAAGGAAACAAGGCTGACACTCTGACACTCTGTCCTCTACCACTAAGACTAGCGAGGTTACTCGTAAATCAGAGTTCTTCAGAGCGAACCGGAATGATTCTGCAGAAGAATCAAACTCATCTTCTTTCTTGATCTACCTACGGGCTAGCGGGGACGGACGGCTTCAAGATGGAGGGAGGGCGTGATCCTGAGGACGAGGCCGAGGAAGACGTCGTCGGGGTCGTGGACGTGCGGGTTGCGCTCCAGGATGTAGGGGTCGCCGCAGCGGTCGCTGATGCCGTGCAGCGTCTCCCCCTCCGCCACCACGTAGACCTCCTCGCACGGCCGCCACCGCGCCGACAGCGACGCGCCCCGCACCACCACCGCGGCCTCCGACGTCTCCCCGAGCGAGCACACCAGCAGCAGCGCCGCCAGCGCCGCCAGCGCGAGGCACCACGACGCCGCGTCCGCCGCCGCCGCCAGCCTCGACCTTTTGGACGTCGAGATACCCCCTCTCTCGCCGCGCTGCCTCGCCCCCATGAGCGCGCTCGATCGTGGCTTCCCGGTGATGGTTCGCTAGTGTCAAGCGAGTGCGAGCTGGTGTTTCGTTGCCTCCGTTGGGTCGGGCTTTATACGTGCAGAGGCAGAGCAGAGCAGGGAGTAGTGAGTGCGTGGGGGGGCCGACCCGACCGACGGTTGGAGCGCAGGTATACGTTGGGCGATAAGCCCAAGAAGGTCCCCCTGTCATGCAGAAACGGCAAGCTTGTTCTACTGTTTTTTTCCCGTTGGTTTCATATATTGGGTGATGTAGTCAGTGCACGTACGACCTTATCTGAAGATGATTGAGTGATTCTCAGCACTGCTCCGACGTTTTCGTAGTGCAAAGCGAGTGACCTCAAAAGGGAGTTGCTGCGCGATTTGAGGAACACTTGCGCTCGCTCTGTAGACAAAGCGGTGACTGCCGTGCGCACAATGCCGCGCTAGTGGTAGTGGATTCAATAATGCTTCAACTGGCATCCCCTTTTGCCTTGCCATTAGACGGTGCGAAGGCCCTTTCGCTGCCCTGTAGAGGTTGTCTCGCTCGCCTGAGACGGCCCAATTCACAAAAGAGAGTGACCTACAACCAAGTTGCTGGAAAAGAAGGTCCAGATTCACATTCAGAACGCAAAGTTTAAGCAAATTCAAATGATGAATTTGCTTTTCAATAACTGGTATGGAAGTTAATATAATGATATAATAGAGGAGCAGTCTGTTGCCAGGGCAGTGATGAATTTGCATTTAGATAACTAGCATGGAATTTGTTTCGATCCAGTTACCGACTCCCATGATCTTCTTTCTTGAGAAAACCGACTCCCATGATCGAGATCAAAAAATGAAACTCATCAGTTCGCCATGGTCCAACGAAGCTAGAAACCTCAAACATACATCCCCTGGCAACTTGTTGGATTCGGTTCGGTGCTGCCATGCAACGACAAAAGAACCGCAACTTACTGATATCACACGCTCATGGAATTGGGGTGGCACAAGAACCACAAACTAGTACTCCCTCCACCCGAAATTAGTCGTCGCTAAAATGGATGTATCACTCATCTCTGTGTTGCAGCTCAATCTATAGTACTTTCATTTGTTTGTTTTTTTTTCATGTATTTGAAAATATTCTAAAACATACATGATTCCCAAACATAAACTTACTTTTTTAAATTAGCAAGCCACAAAATTTAAAATGATAAAGCAAAATTGTTAGAGAAATTTTAAAAATGTTGATAGTGTTCAAAAAAATGTTGAGACATTTAAAAAAACTGTTCACGAGTTTCAAAAATATGTACGTGACATTCTAAAAAATTCTTATGCAATGTAAAAAAAGTTTAAGTAATCAAAAAAATGTTTATATCATTTTTAAAAATGTTCTGGAAACAAAATTGTGTAATTAAAAAAGGTTTCCATATACGTTACCATTTTAAAAATTATTCATGTGTTTCAGAAATACGGTTGTGACATTTAAAAAATTTATACAGTGTAAGGAAAATCATGTAGTTTTATAAAAATCATATAATAAAAAAATTCAATGTGTATTAAAAATGTATACAAACACGTGGTTGAAAGATGATAATCATGTATGTGAGTTCTCCTAAATATGTATAAAAATATTTCAAATGTATACAAAAAAGTGCAGATGTGTATGAAAAATAGTAGACATCAAAAGATATGTTTGAAAAATGTTAACCATGCATTTGAAAAATGTTAAATGGGTATAAGAAAATGTTCATGGTGTATAAAAATGTATAATGTGTGTGAAAAAACTACATGTATTGATAAAAGGAAAAAAGGAAAAGGAATATAAAAAGTAAAAAATCCAATATTTTTGAAGATAACCGTTAAAGAAACAAAAAAAAAAGCGAAACCCAAAACAATCACTGAAATCCGACGCAAAAATCAAAATAAAAAGATAAAACCATGAAAACCAAAGAACCGCTAAAGAAACACATAAAAACAAAAACTACAAGAAAAACCGATGAAGAACCAACAGAGAAACCATACATAATAAAGAAAAGAAAAAGGTGTCTAAAAACCACTCCCGCAGGAACCCATATCTGGACGGCCCAACAATGCCTCCACGGGGAAAATAGTTGATGCCAGACTGAAAAATAGTATCACAGTAGGCAAGATATATTCAAGAGTTCTATGTTCTTTTTCATCGTCTAGTGATCATTGTTTTTTGTAAGAATAAATTTACTCTCGTTCTTTTGGCAGTGCCATGAGGCTAGATAGTTTTTTGTCTTCGCAGATCCGATTATTTGGATCTAGAGTTTATGCTGGTGTGTCAAACCTTTTGTGTTGGTTTGATTCTTTGTGAAGTTGAAATCTTTCATCGACATCATGATGAAGATATTGTGATCCGGCAGCCTGCACTTCTAGAGGATCATCCCTGGCCCATGTACATTCATTGATCAAGGCTTCCCATCTTTCTGAATGGGCGACTCAAGGCGCTTTAAAAAAAATCATTATTGGTAATGTTCGTGCGGGTGAAAGAGTCACAACATCGCTGGTCCAATCCAATGTAGCCTCTTTACCGAAGTCTTTGGAGTATTTTTTATAACAGAGATTGATACAACGAAGAAGGTGTTTACAAAAGATTTGATTGTAATTCTTAGATATAGAAGTTACTTTGTATTTTTTTTGTTTTTTAGATCCAAATCAGTGTACCTATAATTGTTATGAGTATGAATAAAATTACAGACGTTTCTAAAAAAAAGGGTAGGTGAGATATATGGTCATGCCCTAGGATGAGTTCTGAACGCCAGTGCTGCCAGGCCACCACGGATGCATCTCCTTTTCTTCCTCTGCTGCTTTTGTCACACACACAAACTGGGACAGAAGAATTTTCGCTTGAGAATTGCGATGTCAACATCTCACATCATTTTCTGCGAGCAGAGCCGTCGAGATCAACAACCGGCAGCGGACCCACCCATCATCAATTCAATTGCAAACAAAACCGCCTTGTAAAGCAAAAACAGTCGAGTACTTAGTGCAATCCCTGGCCATGGACGTTGACATGCAAAGTTTAATCTTAGTTTACGTTAAGATAACACTTGGATTGGATCGCCGTACCAATATCAACACCATAACCGTCGTCATTGGCCCGTATCAAAAGCTACGTCAACGGCTAACGCGCGAGTCCACCCCACACACACCATGGTTCCATTATTAACGACAGCAATCGGTGGTCCACGCCCGCCATCGGACGGCCCGGCACGGCTCGCCGGTGCGCTGGAGCGCCGTCGGATGGGTAGCTTGGCTGGTTGTAGTGCGGGCAGGGCAATGGAGGTTGGAGATGGCTCCCCGCACGTCGTGGAGCGTTCGTGCGCCCACGCGGGCGGGCCCCGCGTCCGGCGATTAGGAAAACCGGGATAATCGCCGAAAGTCGCTTGGTCGGTTGCCATGGGGCATGCCAGTATTTTTTATATAACGCATTGGTCCTCCTCGTCTTGGGATTCTTTTTTTCAGACAATTCAAAGAGCTTTATTCAAACGAAAGCATTCCTAGGACAATCAGCAAGTAAGCTGGTCACTAGGAAGCTGGCAGTGTCATATCAGTCACACTTAGTGCACGAGCAGACTTTGCACATAGGTGTGCTGAAATATTTGCTGATCGATTTACATGTTGAACATCAAATAAAGTAAAGTCACTAACTAGCTCTTCAATTCCAAGTAACAGCGGAGCCACAACCAAACGTGAATTGTGACGAGTATTCCAGAGTCGTACCATCTCCAGACAGTCCACCTTCATGATCACATGCGTGAGTCAGCGTAGCTTCGCAAATAGCGCACCATCCCGCATAGAAAGAGCTTCTGCTATCAGTGGATCAAAAATGCCCAAGTGGGGCTTACACTAAGCACCCATGAACTTCACATCCGAACGAGATACACCTCCCATGCCACTGCAGTTACCTGCGAAATCGATGGCACCATCGGTGTTGATCTTGACAATCACTACTAGGAAAATGCTTATAGATAGATGTTTACCAGTAGCGCTTGTTTAAGCACCCACGCTACTAGTATTTACCAGTGGCGCCTGGTACAAAACACGCTACTACTACTTAATAACAACAACGTTTGTTAGTTTGGGCCGCGTTGCTGTTACGTGGGCCGTAGGGCAAAAACGGTAGCCCACTTACCTCTAGCGTTTGTTTCGAACGGGCGCTACAGCTGGTGGGCTTAGCAGTAGCACCGGCCTCTACCCAGATCTACTACTAGAGGAAAAGAAAACCGGCCCGCGCGCCGGTCTCCCCTTGCACCCCCTCACTCTGGATCAACATCGATCCCCTCCGCCCGCCGCCGCCGCCGTGGTTAGGGTTCCTCCCCGGCCACCTCACCCCCGCCGACGGCGCTGTGCGCCGCCACCACGCGCTGTCGCCTCTCGCCTCCTCCGACGCTCCAGCACCGTAAGTCCCCCTTGATCTCCTCCTCCCTGCGCGCGCCACCACTAGGCTCCGATCGATTCGCCGCTGCAGCTCACCATGTTTTGGGATTTCGCGTGGGGGAAAGGGATCTATGGATTGCACGGTGGCTCCGCGCTTCGATGCGACGGGTCTGGTTCGCTCGACGTGTTCTTGCAGGCTTGTTTCCTCGCGTGAGAGAGTAGAGAGAGAAGTAGAGGCTTTTTGTTGGACGGCGGGAGCGCTGCAGGAGAGGGACAAGAGGCGGCGGGAGCTGCTGGACAGCACGTGGCGGGAGGAGTAACAGCGGGAGAGCAGGGCGACGGCGGTGGGCAAGTAGAGGGCCAGGGAGAAGGGAAAGGGGAAGGAGCTGGAGAATGGCAGAGAGGGCGACAAGTTAGGTCAGCAATTCGCCAGGGTATCTGATGGATCCAAATCGACCCAAATCGAAAGAACTGTGTTGCCCTTGCCGAACGAACTGTGGTTGTTCATTTGCTGACGCCGACCCTTGTCGTTGGAGATTAAAGCGGTGAAGGGGTAGTTATTAGTACGGCTCTGCTCGTGGGTGAAGCTGATGCAGGACTGGAGAGGCAGCGTGTGTTGA